TTCACCATACCTTTACAAAGAGTATTAGTGTCTAGATCTTTTGCAAGTCTAATAGAAAGTTAAAAAATGGCAATCAAAAGTTTTTATTTATTTTCACTTTTAAAGAGATTTATTTCCTTTGTATAGTGTAGCCCATTTTCCTACTGAGATCAACTTTTTATAAGGGCTTTGATATATTACAAAAATTAGCCATGTCTCCATATTTACCTAATATATATGTTTTCCTAGAATGTCATTTACCTTTTTTTTTTTTTTTTTGGAGAGGTTTTTGCTATAGGGTGCGTGCGCTCACCAGACAGACAGAGACAGAAAGAAAGCGAGATATCCCCCCCGGGGGGGGGGGGATGGCCACACCACAATCCCTTCTCCTCCATTCTCCTCTCAGGATCTTGGGCATGCACGCACACGCACCCGGTGTGAGTTTTAAGCCACCGGGTCCGGGATGCGAACTGTGGTTGACTACATGGGAGTCCAGCGACATAGCCATTATGCTAACTGCTGGTCCTTGTCATTTACCTTTTGACTTCTTGAGTTGGTAGTTTTTGCCATGCAGACATTTTTAATGGTTTTCAATGATTTCATTTAAGAGTCTAGTATTGTCTGTTTTGTTTTCTTGGTAATGAAGAGTTTGAAGGGTCTTCCCCATAAAACCTTTCAAATCTTGTTCCATGATATACAGTATTTTCCTATGGTTTCTTCTACTCCTGTTATTCTTTCAGGTTATTTCAGCCATAGTTTATCTTTTATAATGTGACAATCACCTCATACTGTTTTTTCCCTGCCTCTGGTATTGTGCTTATTTCTAGCTTATTCTTGGATCTTTTCACATTCTATTGCAAATGCAGACTTGTTCTTTCCATTTAATAGTTTATATGTATGAATACTAGTAAACTATATTTTATAATGCTTGCTTTACCTTGCTGAATTTTTATTCTTTGTAGTAATTTATTTTTCTTGTTTTTATAAATTCAGATTATTAATAGTGATTTTTCTCTCCTTTTCTAATAGGTTTTGATGGTACCTTATTTGACTACTTTAATGGTTATGAAGATTTAAAAAATAAGAAAGTTAGATTTGTTGGACATGCTAAACAGAGAATACAAGAAGATTATCTCCGAATTTTAAGATACTTCAGGTAAGTATTTTAAAGAAATAGGATGAGACCACCATTCTGGTCATGTAAATACATAGCAGGTCACTGTACAAAATGGTGACATGCCAAATGTTTGTGTCCAGTGGAGACTTAGTAACCTATACTCTATGGGTGAAATAGTACTTAAAAACTTTATTCTATTTTCATTTCTAAAACGTACTTCATTCTATATCATCTTTATTATTTAGCTTTCCTTTTTTTTAATGCTCATTTTTTTTTTTTCTTTTTTTTTGGAGAGATTTTCACTGTAGGGCGCGTGCGCTCGCCAGACAGACAGAGAGAGACATAGAGACAGAAAGCGAGAAATCACCCCCCAGGGGGGATGGTCACGCCGCAATCCCTTCTCCTCCATTCTCCTCTTGGGATCTTGGGCATGCACGCACACACGCCTGGCGTGAGTTTTAAGCCACCGGGTCCGGGACACGAACCGCGGTTGACTACGTGGGAGTCCAGCGACATAGCCATTACGCTAACTGCTGGTTCCCCATTTTTCTTGATTAAGTGATATTTCCTCCACTGATCCATTCATTACAGAGATGTCTGAGTGCCTAGCATAGGCTGAGCACTATCTTAGGTGTTCTGAATACAGCAGTGAAAGTCAGTCTCTGCCCTCATTTGGCTTACATTCTTAGGGGATGGTGGAAAATCTCTTCCTTACAACAAAATTATGCTGGTGAAAAGAAGTATCTTAAATGCAAATAAAATGCCATAAAAAAAAAATCAAGGTATAGAGGTATATGCTTAAAACTTGTATAAACTTATTAAGTATAAAATGCATAGATGATTTTGTGGATAGCTTTGATGTTTAAACTAAATAGCTAATATATGAATAGTATTAATTTTCCACTGGAAAGGGATCAATTCCCTTAGCAGACCATATGTATTTTATCAATCAATACTATTTCTCTAAACTTGTATTTGCAAACAATCTCTCTGGACAAAAGAATATATCGAGGTTTAGTAATAGTTATTTTAGCATTTCATTTAGAGTAGTGATAAATTTTAAGGGTATTCATAATAGAGATTGGATGGGCTTTAAGGCTTTCAATTTTCAGATTCCATGAAATATACTCAAGTATCTTATTTCTTATTCTGAAGCGCTTTAAAAATTTTAATGTGGGGACCAGTGGACGGTGTTATGGTTATATCGTTGAACTCCCACATAGTCAATCGTGGTTTGAGTCCTGGACTAGGAGGCTTAAAACACAATGGTTGTGAGCGCATGTATGCCAAAGATCCTGAGAGAATGGCAGCAAAGGGATTACAGCGTTGCAATCCCCCCTCCCCCCTTGGGGGTGACTTTTCGCTTTCTGTCTCTCTGGTGAGCACATGCAAGCTTAAAAAAAAAAAATCTCAAAGTAAAAAAAAAAGTCAATGCCTATCAACAGGCAAATTTTAAGGGATTAAAAGTATTATGCCATTTCAGTCTTCTTTTGATGCCCTAAAGAATGCTGTTTTATGGACCCACCACCAGTGCCAATTTAGGAATTGCATTTGATGTCCTTTCTGAGCATAGTGGAATCTTTGGGGTTCGAATTCTGAATAATCTTAAGGTTACACTTCATTAGCTCTTGGGTTCTCTGATCTACAAATAAAAGGGAAGTAGAGAATTTACTGGATTGTTAAGGTCCCTCCTAGAATTAATTCTCTTTGTTTTTTATTAGATAGATATACAGGGTAAAATGAGAAACAGGGTTTTTGGATGATAGTCAGTATAGAAATAATTGAGAATTTTTGTCATACTGTAGGTTTTATGGGAGAATTGTAGATAAACCTGGTGACCATGATCCTGAGACTTTGGAAGCAATTGCAGAAAACGCAAAAGGCTTGGCTGGAATATCAGGAGAGAGGATTTGGGTGGAACTGAAAAAAATTCTTGTTGGTAACCATGTAAATCATTTGATTCACCTTATCTATGACCTTGATGTGGCTCCTTATATAGGTGAGAGCAAGTTTTAAAATGTTTGAATTTCTAGCAATGGAATTCTAGATTAAAAATTTCATAGGGAAAAAAGCATTTGATTCATTTAGTTGAATTCTTAATGGAGAAAGGAATAGTTTAAAGTTTGGTAACTTTAGGGTCATGTAGGAAACAGCTCAGAGATGGCCGATGGTGGTCATACATAGTGGCCTCTGGAGTCAGACAGATGTGTGTGAAACTGCCATTTACCAGCTTTGAGGTTCTAGTTAGTGTGTGATCTAAAAAGGGGGTCTGAAAATATCAGAATGAATCTACCTAAGAGGACTGAGAGGCTACAATGAGTTAATACATGTGAGACATTTTTAGAATAGTGGTTTATTTGTACATAGAAATTGTTCAATGAATATTATATTCACAGAAGACAGTGGGATCATACGGTTTATCATGCTTCAGAATTCTAGTGACAGGGCATTATGTTCGGTTTAGGATATGAGGGAATTTTTTTTTCCTCTCTCAGTAAAGTACTTTTGTCCCTACAGGTTTACCTGCTAACGCAAGTTTTGAAGAATTTAACAAAGTCAGTAAAAATGTCGAAGGTTTTTCACCAAAGCCAATGACTCTTTTGGCGTCATTATTTAAAGTACAGGATGATGTCACAAAATTGGATTTGAGGTTGAAGATTTCAAAAGAAGAGAAAAACCTTGGTTTATTTTTGGTTAAAAATAGGAAAGATTTAATCAAAGCCACAGACAGTTCCGAACCATTGAAGCCCTATCAAGACTTCATTATAGATGTAAGTATCTACTTGGCTTGATCAGAATAGAAGTCTGTAAACTGCTGAGAGTAGGACTGATTATTAAGTCAAAAGTTTCTAAAACTAAGATCCTAAGTAAGCATTGAAATATTTGGTTTTGGCATTTAGTCTAGGGAACCTGATGCGACTCTCCGAGTATGTGAACTGCTCAAGTACCAGGGAGAACACTGTCTTCTGAAGGACATGCAGCAGTGGTCTGTTCCTCCATTTCCTGTGAGCGGCCATGACATTAGAAAAGTGGGCATTTCTTCAGGAAAAGAAATCGGGGCTCTATTACAACAGTTGCGAGAACAGTGGAAGAAAAGTGGTTACCAGATGGAAAAAGATGAGCTCCTCAGTTACATCAAGAAACCGTAAACTGCTGAGAGCTGGCTACTAAACAGTTTTTTGGTAAGACTAGCTTTTTTTCTCCCTTCTTTTAGTGAGACTTAAGAAACTCCAGATGAATAAAAGCCAGTTTACAATGACTTTAGAATGAAAAATTTTACTTCAGGCACTGAAATCTCCCTTGCAAGAAAAGTATAGACTTTTTAAAAATTTTAGGGCAGTGGAAGTTGTTTATTGTCTACGATCAAAATAATGGAATTACTTTGTACAATGTTTAAGCCTCAGTTCTCTGAATTCCAAAATAAAGTTGTGCCTGAAAAGAAAATCCTTGACGCATGTGAATAAATCCCAAGTTACCAGTTTGTCCTGGGTAGCTGGCATTCATACAGACATGATTTTGTTCCGTGTCATGATTTTCTTAAGTGTGCATGCAAAGCCTGGAAAGTTATAGGATTAAGGGTTACTCTTGAGCCTCTTATTGTAATAAAACATTTCCTTTGGCATTGAAAGGTAAATGCATTTATAGAGTAGTTGCCATATATAGTGATAATACTCTTCAGTAACATACATGTTAACTTCTTGTTTACATTACTATAATTACTGTATGTTTACTCTTTAAAAATTTGAACCTTAAATGTGTTCATTAGGTAAGTAGATGTATAACAATAGCATTGTGGATTTCAGCTGCTATATCCTGACAATTTTCTTTCCTATATAGCCATCAGCCCTAGCATCTTTGTATTCTATGGGCAAGTATCAGTTTTGGACCTAGATAAAACAATTTTGCAAAATATATTTGTGAAAGCCCAACTACAAAGAAGTGTGAGAGTTTAACAGGGGCTACCTTGCAAGAAAGGGAGCCTTACAAATGACTGCACACAGGTAATTAAATGTATTGTGATATAGTAGGTACTACTAATATATTTCAGATCCAATGTCGTAAAAGTCCTATGTGTCTAGATAGAAAGAAAATATGCAGAGTTAGCTATTTGCTTTTTTCAGAACCACCATTCTGAAATGAAAACCTTTTTAGGGATCAAAGGCAAAAAAAGTAATGTTCCCTCAGTGTAATTCCTTACAGAGATGCACTGTGCTACACTGAAAAAAACTCCCTGAAATCCATTCTGAATATGCTCTAATTACATCAATATACAACAAGATATTCAATTGATTTTCAGTGGTGATCAAAACCATGTTTAGTTAAAAAAAAAAAAGTTAACTGATTAACTTTTGTGAATTAATGTAAAGCAGCAAAAGAAAATCAATGAAACCAGTTAATTACACATGTTTAAGGAGCCACTAAACCCTTGAACATATTAGCAAAGAGGTAGGTGGCAAAGCACTCTATCTAGAACTTTATCTTAAAAATTATTCCTTACATCTAAATTTGCTTATGATAGTTTACATTATTTAAACAAAGAACATGTTTAAATTAAGTTTACAGGTTTTTCTTTAAATTTACATGGACAAGATAGCCCACAAAATACAGTATCACTTACTGCTAGCCTGTATACAGAGGGTAGGTACACTTAGGCATCTCTGTCCCACAGTAGTTTAGGCTTACTTTTTGAAAAATAACTTTTGTTGGGAACAGAATACCAAGTTATAGTTCAAACAGACTGAGCAAATACACAAAAGTAGTATTTTTCTTAACAAACACATAAAATGAAAACTTTATTTTGGGGCTCAAACTGCATATTTTAACTCTTAATTATTTTCAGAATTTACAAATCAGTATCTCACAGAAACTAAAAAAAAAAATTCAAAGGAACAAGCCCTTTTAAAATATACATTGCCTTGCCTCTTTCAAAAAGGAACATACATTGTACTTCTGCAACCTTCATTATTTGGAGGACTGGCGCATAAATGCTACTCCATGGATCAGGATAAATGATTAACTTCACATTTATAGGAACTCAAAATATACTTTGGGCAGGGAACAGAGATCTGCATGTCCTGTTTTCTGACATGCTACTAGACATATCAGATTCCATAGGATATAATGGCACCAACCTTAAAAGTAGGTATTCCTGAATTCTAGATTGTTTTTCATCCTCTCCAAAAGTATACTTTAACTGAAATCTTCAAAGAAACTGCAGCCTTCCACATGATGCTGCCATTTAGTTAGGTATGGCAGCAGGGGCATTAAATCCAAAGCAGACCTGATTTGCAAATAGCAACTTCTTAGGTGACTTTACCATTTCTCCTTACAAGCAGAGTATCACTTTGTCTGGGCTTAATTCATCTTCGGTATCTGGGATTGTGGGCAATAGAGCAGACCGAGTTAAACCCCAAAATTTCTGAGGTGACATGTCCTTTTTGGTGGCTGTAAACTTCCATCCAATATGGCTTGCACAGATCCTGCACTGGGCAATGGTCCAGGCATACCTACAAAGTTAAGAAATGATAACATCAGCTAGGGAGAAAGTAACACAGTTCTGTTTCCCAAACCTATTAAAGCTAAATTCTAGGGATTAAGAATAAATCTTTAATCCATACAGTTTCCTGAAACCAAAAAAAAAAGCTTTTTAAATACATAAAATGGACTCTTTATATAAATTGCTTTGTATGTAAACAGCGGAGTTTTCCTATAGTAAGTACAAAGAAAAAAATAGAGTTCTTAAACAGCAGCCACTTGTAATTCACTTTTGTCTCAAATTGGGTAAGGTGGGGAATAAGGGTGTATTTTAAGTAAGTTTAAAAGCAATTTGGCCAACCATGGCATTTCTGTTCTTCCAACCACTTAACTGAGTTTGTCTCCTTATTTCCCCCCCTACAGTATCCCATGGTTAGTATTTATATTAACGAATGTAGTTTTACTCCTTAAGGATGCCAAATAAGGTAGTGATGATAGAGTCCTAAGTCCATAGGCTAGCAAGTGTAATAGCTTGCTGCAATACTAGAAGGTATAATCACTAATACCTACTTAGCCCAGATACTTGAAAAAAAAAACTAATCGTATACCTGAGGGAATCTAACAAGTTCTCAGGGATGCTGCCAGTCCCAGAGAACTACCAGGCTTAAAGAAGAGAAAAGATTGAACAGTTTCTATACTTAGTCAGATATTTGTTTTACTAGGTGATAAAACAGGTGAGTTCCAGAGTGAAGTGACAGAAATACATAGTTTTGGAAGAAGTATATTAGAGGAAAAATACAGTGGCCAACCTGTTTTCTCTGCAGGACATGATTCTAGCTATTTGCGGAAGGAAGAACATTTAAATGTGATTTATTCCATTTTATAGCTTTGATTATGATTTCAGCAACTATGCTTATGACTCTGGGTTTTTCTGCCCAATTAAGATACAGCAACAACAAGAAAAGCATTACTACATTACCCAGGAAACCAGCTGTGCTCTGTAGAAGGCCGGCCTATCAGATTCAAGTTGCAAGCCTTATACACAGTAAGCGTCTCATGCACATAGCCATGAGGATTCACATAAGCTGCCATCGGCCCACATAAGGATAAACTAAAACAAAGAATAAACATGGAGGATAAATCAAAATGCAATGCAGTCTAATCCTACATGGTTAGATTTTTAATCTTTCAGTTTTAAGTCAGACCAGTCTTAGGAGGTTGGCAGACAGCTCAGTTTTCTGATCCTGAGAGATATAGTGCTAACTGAAAAAAACCTTCCCTAAGATTTACATTGCAAAATAACATACAGAGCTCAAGTTCTTTTAAAGGAGTGTTTGAGACTGTAAGTGCAGTGAAAAAGGTCTCCGGTTATAGAGAGCAGCTTCCTTCTTAATTCATGATTCTGATGAATTTGTCATCAGACAATTATTTGTCATCAGAAATTATTGAAAATAATTTCTAGTTATATAAGCATCCACACATGTTTAAAAGTATGCCCTGCTGTGGCCAAACTGATTAATCACTAAGACGACGATAGCCTAATTTTCAACATTAGGGACAGCAGTTTTAGTTTACTGTACTCATCACTTAAGAGTAATTCGGTACATAATAATTGTCACTGAGTAATCAAATTGGGGAGAGAGTAGTCTTACCAAACTGACTTTACATATTTCATTTTCTGAAGGTTTTTACTACTTACAGATCCCATATGTTAGGTCGTCAGGAAAGTCTTGACAGTTTTTGCATGTGACTTTCCCGACGACCTAACATATGGGATATGTAGTCTTGACACTAATACTGACATAATAAGTGCTTTGGAAATGTATTCGGGAGCATACAAAAATATCTTACCTGAAAATTTCATTTTTGGTTGTTATTTCTGTTTCTTGACATTGTTTACAGCAAAGAGAAGTACACTAAAAAATTTAAGTAATAAAAAATGGTTATTTTTCCCAAAGATAATTAGTAGCTTAACAAAAACTACTTCTCTAACTATTCAAAAACTTAGCACTAAGGGGATCTGCCACACACGAAACCAAATGATCTAGAATAAAGAGTGATATGTAACTACAACTATTTCACAAAGAAATCTATTAGATAAACTATACTTAGGTTTATGCAAGTACAAATTCACTTCTGCATTTTCCAACTGTTTATGCACACAGAGGGAAAGTGAGAAAGCACTGCCTACATGGGGCATGGTCATGCCACATCCCTTCTCCATCTCTCCCTCTTTTAAGGGTTTTGGGCACACATGCTCAGCCTGCTAGGTCTGGATCGCCACAGTACACTTGGTTGGCCATGTGGAATCCAGCCTCCTTACCCATCAGGCCATAGACAGGCTGGCTGGCCCTAAAATATTTTTCTTATTGACATAAGCCATGACAAGAATAATTGTAAAACTACATAACTAGACTCTCTACATAGCTCTAGAGGTGCCAACAGTGCAGCCTGGTTCTCTAGCCTAACTAAACATGGTATCACAAACATATTTACTCACTTTATTCATAATGTCTAATTCACAGCGAAGTCGTTGGATAGCACTACCAATTTTAAGGAGCTGAATTCTTAATACATCATCAATAGGAAGACAAGCAGCTACTCTGTAAGAAAAATCTTAAAGACACGATGGTTTTTCAAGTTTTACACCTATGAATTAGATAAGTATCAGATAACTTACGAATCAGATAATGTCCTTTTGAAATAAATCCTCCTCCACAGGGCCCCCAAAGCACACATTTTACACAATTATAAACAACACAATAGCTACCAAGTATATACTCAGAAAACCTACTACTACCTAACTACTTTTGCCACACTATACTTGTTTCTTATAACTTTCCTTTAAATTGAACATGAACGCAAATCTAAGTTATAAGTAACTTATTTGCCAAGAGACTACAAAAAAACAATGGTATCTTGTAAATGGATATAGAGACTTAAATATAGTAACTTCTGAAATTAGGGTCACTTCTTTTAAAAAGGCACTTAAAAGAACAAAGCAAGTCTTTACACTCAGGAAGGATTTCTGGCTGACAGCCATTTACTACAACTTGTACTTTTCATGTAAAACTTGCCTTAAACTAGTGCTCACAAAATGGAAGAATTCTGTTAATTTAAAAATACTCTTTTTAACTGTTCAAAAGAAGTATATATGCTTTTCAAAAATAAAAATGGGGGGGGGGCAAAAAACCAGCAACAAAAATACCTGATTTCAAGTACAAAATTGTAAAGTTTTTTGTAGCAAGATAGTACAGGCCTTAGTATAGAAACTGATTTCTCATACCTATAGGATTTGAAGGAAGAGAATCATCTTTTAGATTTTCATCCCATTCACGTAGCTGTTTCTTGATTCTATCCATTAAGGTTTCCTTATTTAAAATAGAAGCACTCACAATAAAGTTCACAGACATTAAAATTTACTGTCAGTTTTTCGATTCTTAATTAACATACTGGAAACACTTTAAGTCATCACCAACTCCCAATTACCTACCACGTCAGCTACCTAGCTGCCTTTACGCACAGTCGGTCAGTCCCATGGCACAAGCTCTGGCCTGTGGATGCTGTTCTAAGCTCCTGCATGTAACTGGTTTCTGTATTCTAGCTTTGTTTGAAGCCTCTTCTGAGGTAGTCCACAGTGATTGTGGCCCATGTAAAACTCAGCACTATCACTTAGTGTCGATATACCTATTACTTTCCTCCTATTTACTACATAAAAGTGTTTGCAATCTTACGTAAACATATGCAAAAAATGCCACTTCTGCACAGGGTATCATTACCTGTCTATTCAGTTTATCCAGGAGTGCAGAGCTATAGGCAAAGTTCACTAGGGATAATGACTAACTAATTGAATGCCTACTATATGCCAAGTGCAATGGCTGCTCTTATCCCCATTTTATAGGTAGAGAAGTAATTTGCCCTAAACCACTAAGTGACAAACTTTGAATCCAGTCATTGTGTCTAAACCCAGATAATTTCAGCAGTCTATTTAAATTACTTATGCAAAATATGGCAATGCTTTGTATTAAGACACAAAGAACAAAAACTCTGAATGCATCAGTTAGTGATCAGGATTAATGTACTATTTTTTGAGAAAAACCAACATATATAAGGAGTCTTTTACTTTTTTTTTTTGGGGGGGGGAGGTGTTTGCAATATGATGTGTGCACTCGCCAGAGAGACAGACAAAGTAAGAAACCACCCCCCCAGGGGGTGGCCATGCTGTATTCCCTTCTCCTCCATTCTCTTCTTGGGATTTTAGACATGCACACACACCCAGTGTGAGTTTAAGCCACTGGGTTTGGGCCCTGAACCGCGGAAGTCCAGTGACAATAGCCATTACACCAACTGCTGGTCCCAAAGGGCCTTTAACTTTCTAAATGTTAACTACTACCAAACCCAATAAACTTTCAAATGCTTACTTAAAACCCTAAAGTCTTAGTCTATCCAGCAGTATTTCCATTTGTTTTACCCTAAATGTAACAAATGACATTAGTTCTTAAACAGCACTGAATATACTTTAATGCTTTGGTTAAATAACCCTTAACTATGATACAGCTGACCATAAATTACAATTACTTACAGCATCATATAAGGAATACAGCCAGCGAGGCCATGAAGTCAGATTTGCACAATGAAACTTTCTCTGAAATTAGAAACAAAAATCAATTAAAACCCCCCAAGATAAAGATTCCAATGTCAGAAAGGAAAATATTTGAAAAGTGATTATTGCTAAGAAAAACACTTATTTCTAACTTTGAAAAGAATGCCAGATCCCATAGTAGATGATTATCTATTATATATGACAATCATGTTTTTATATTCAAGTATATACCAGAATCCTAATTTCCACTGAGAAAGTTCAAATAGTATAACTTCAATGCTTTAGGACGACTTAGTAAAACTAAGATAAACTTGAAGAGCAAACACCATACTTCTATTATGACAACATTAAATCATTTACCCAATAATTGCTTGTCTGATATTTGTTGTAAAAACCTCAACATAACAATCTAAACCATCTTTCTGGTTCACCATAAAGGCAAACATAATTATACTATTTCAAAAAGAATAAAATGATTGTATATTTGAGACTTCATGGTCAACTTGTCTTTTCATAAAACTCAGGAGAAAACCCATCCTATATTTCTTCCAAGACCTATAATTAGGATTCAAATAGAAGCATGCCTAAGTCCATATAAAAACATGTACTGTACTTAATTCCTCTAGAATTTCAGCATTTGATGGGAAGACTTAACGTTGTTAGGATGTCACTCCTGAAAACACATACTCAATACTAATGAGCTTAAAACTTTTTAAGTGTAATAAAAGGTTCACTGGGAAGGAAAAATGTACAAAATGACCAAAATATTTTTTGAAAGAGAACCAAATACTCTGTAGTACACACAGATATCACTGAAAGACTGCACGGCAGCAACTATTCCTAGTAAACTGCGGACAACCTAAACATCAATACACAAGACAACAGTTAAATGTGTTCATATAGGAGGTTATACTCTGCAATTGCTAGAACAACAAGGCATATGGAACCTACATAATAAAATAATCATACCTTTCTCAAAACAAAACCTACATATGTACAAAAGGTTGCAATTTCTTTTTAAACTACTGAGGTCTTTTTAACACATGACACTGGGAAGATCAAAAGGGACCTTTAACAAAGCACAATGGAAAAGGCAAGGTACCAGTGGACAAATGAAGATCCTACTCTTGACTCTGTGAGACCAACTAGCATGAGATGAAGAAATTATATACATTCACACACACACACACACACACACACACGCGTGCGCCACAATCAGTAGTTAGAGCCGTGCTATGCAATTTGTCTCCTCTCTGCCCCATGATCCTACTTTACTACTCTAGCTATATTACAAGTGTGGAATTTAAGAGAGCCAATACTGCTACTCTACTCCATCATGGTCAGAAATGGGAACTTCTACTGAAATGTCTTAACACTACAGATATTTAGTTTGGACTCTCTCTCAAAGAGACACAATACTTGTTTTAAGTTATTTTAGGAATTCTAATCAAAAAGGACTTGCTCTGAAAAGGCTACAGCTTAAACCAGTGGATTCTTTAACAACTATGGAGCATTTTTTTTTTTTCTTAATATAATCTTTATATTTGAGGCTGCCCAAAGATGGTCTCTGATGACCTGTTATGTGCTCAGGTAGTGATTTATGCTTGAACAGTCAGACCACAAGACCCTCAAGGTAAAAGCTGTTCTTTCCCTTCTTCTATTTATTTATCATTATTTTTAATTTTGCTACTCTCCACATTGAAAGAAATGAGAAAGCAAGCTGCCAGGTCCAGGACTTGAACTGTGGTCAGCCCGGTGGGAGCCCAGTGCTTTAAACACCATGCTACCTGATGGCTCACTATCACTATCCTTTAATTATTTTCCTAATTTTGCTTCTTTAAAATTTTGCTTTACAATACATGTGCTTACCAGAGACAGAGAGAAGAGAAAGCAAGAAAGCAAGCCATCAGGTCCGAGACATGAACCATGATCCCTCATGTGAGAGTCCAGAACCTTAACCACACCAATTGCTGGTCCCGTCCTTTACGAATTTTAAAACCAAATATGTAATGTTAAGGAATACTGTCACGGACCAATTACAGAATTTTAACTGCTACTGATAGCATGTGAGTAGATTCTGAATATCACAAATAGCTGTGGCAATCAATTTCTCTTAGAACTAAAGCTGTCTTACAAGAATATTTTTAACGCAAGTCCAGCTTGAGGACAAAGGTTACAGTGGTACAGAAGGATGCACAACTTGCCCAAGACCACAGTAAATGGGGAGCAGCTACAATTTACGAACAAGAAGTCTGAACTACCATTCATTCAACAAATATTCTCAGAGTTCAATGTGTCAGGCACTTTTATGCATTTGGGATATGCCAGTGACTAAAACAATGTAGGACTAAAATCACTGCTCCATGAGGTTTACATCTTAATGGGATAATGCTTACTCTATTATATTTTCTTAGAACTACAAAAATCACAAGGACCTGACAAAAAGTTTAGTTTAGTACTCAAAAGTATCATTTTCACCTCACATTGCTTTCATAGAAAGAGAAGCCACAACAATTTATTCATATGTTAGTGAAGTCATTATAAAGAGAACAGAATGTGGGCTGCTACCAAGCGAAGAGCACTGCTCTTGGCTAAAGGTCATTAGCACTAGCTCTTCCTGCATCCACAAACCAGCTACAGTCACATGAGCCTCAGTTCCCTTTTTAGTGTGACCTCTAAATTTCTTTATGCTGAAAATCCTCAAGGATTCTAGAGGTTCCATTTACAAATAAGTAATATGATTAACATACTACACATACTTGTGATGTGTTTTCTGTACTCAATTATACAAACTGAAGAGAAGTATACCAGCTTTTACAAAATAATAGCCAGCTTTTACAAAACTGCTAAATATTTAAGCCACTTCAACATCTTTAGATTTGAAAGTCCCTTTTAACTTTCCAGCATGACAGATGAGGCTTCTGTCGGGTATCTTGGGTAACATCATTAAGTTTTAGCAATTAATAGGCATTTTTCAAGTCAATACTGTGATTTCATAAAAGGGTTATATCTCAAGAAAATTTTAATACTAGCCAAAAGTTTAGGCACAAATGACCAATGCCTGATTCTGCAGTGAAATAGTAGTCACTCTGGAGACAGTATTTACTATTACAAATGATTGTAAAAGGCTCTTAACAATTAATATCTATTACCAGGAGATAATCTATCACATTACTTTTTCTTTTTCTTTTTTTTTTTTTTTTAAGATTTTTATTATAGGGTGTGTACACTCACCAGAGAAAAACAGAAAGCAATAAATTCCCCTGTGGGGGAAGAAAGACAAAAGTCCCCCTGGGGGGGGGGGGGGGGGGGGCAGGGGATGGCCACGCCACAATCCCTTCTTCATTCTCCTCTCAGGACTATGGACATTCAGGCACACGTTTCTGAGTGAGTTTCAAGCTGCTGGGTCCAAGACTTGAACCATGGTAGACCATGTGCGAGTCCAGCAACGTAATCATCGTGTCACCTGCTGGTCCCACATTCTTCCATTTTTAAGCTTTGTAAGTATGGCTTTAGCTTCCCCTCTCAAAAATGTAGAATGCTTAAAAAATAGGAAACTCCACTTAAGTAGGTCTTTGAAGAGCAATGATATTGGAAATAATATGAAACACTAACTGTAAGTAGTAAATCATTACTATTAATCTCCTTTACATAGTGACCAAGGTGGTAATTCACTATGTTAACTCTTTTTATAATTAGCAATGTAAATGACAAAAACAATCCAAGTAATTCAAAAGTTGCCAGTATATATTTCATTTCCAAGCTCCCATTTGGTAATAAGAGCCTAATGGAATGAAAAGGTCTTTTCTATTCCAACAGCTTATATGCTAGGTGGGAGATACATATATGCATAGCATATACGAGAAATTACTGGTCTGTCTGTGGAAGCACCTGACTGACAGAGCTTCAGATTTCAAGACTTTCATTCCTCTTTGATATAAAAATAGAAAGTACATGTTACTGCTCTCACTATTACCATTATTCTGGAACAAGGTAAAATGGAATCTAGAATTCATATGGAGTTGATCAGTAGGGCCACAAAAGGGAAGAGACACATTGGTGCACCACTAAGAGCACTGCAATACTGAAACCACATTGGGTGGTCCCAATGTGCACCCTGGAGCCTCCTCGTTCTTCCAGGCATGGCGTGTGCCCATAGGTCTGGCTGAAGCTGGGGTTGTCTGCAATATGCTGTGGGGGTGCCGGTTGCTCTACTCATGGGAGAAGTAAATAAAACAGTTACAATAGTACATAAATAGACTGACCAACAGAGCTAAAGAAAAGTAAAATAAAAGTCATGATTTTGGTCTACATAAAGGTTATGGACTTCAGAAAATGGTAATGGAACAGTGAGCTATCTGGAAAAGCAGTGGAATTCATACTATGATAAAAATATATGAACCAAAGCTCTACATACTTAATAAAAGTAACAAAAGCAGGCAGAAAAGTTGACTACTCCTATCTAAAATGCTCAGGACTGAGATGTTTTCGATGTCAAAGTTTGCAAATACTTCCATATACATAATGAGATATCAGGGATGGCACCCGAGTCTAACCATAAACTGATTTTTCACACACACACACATTATATGTATACTCTAAAGATAATTTTACATAATATTTTTGTACTGTATCATTTTGACTGTGACCCATCGTGGGAGGTCAGGTGTGGAATTTTCAACTTGTGGTATTTGGTATTGAAAAGGTTTCAAAATTTGGAGTACTGTGGAATTCAGATATTTGTATTAGGGATGCTCAAGCTATAAGACAAAAGCACAAGGCAATTCCTTAGCATGGGAAAGTCATTTTTAGCTGTGATTTAGGATACAGATGCATTAAAAATAATTCAACAACTTAAAAATTTTAAAATGAGTACGTCAAAAAGTTGAATTGAAAAACCAGGGATAAATGTTTGGAACTCATTAATTACAGAGATTTTAATGAAATAGAACTCAAAAAGCTAACAGAGACACCAGTAGATGGCATAATAGTTACGATGCTGGACTCTCACATGCCAATGCTGCCCAAGTCTGGAACCTGAG